CTTCGCTAACGTGTAATGGACTTCACTTGCCACATCCGTAGCAGAGGTGGGACTGTTAGCCTGATGGCAGAGGTGAATCCCATTTGTTTTCATGTTGAATTGCACTGCTGGCTGAGATTTGCAGTCCTCTTGCATGGACACTCAGTTTAACCTCCCAAATATTGTCACCCACTACCAGTCCATGGCAGGCGAGGGGCTCAGATTTCTCTGTAGACACATCTGCAGCACATTAATTCAGGATCCATTGCCAATTAGGAATTTAGATTTCCAGATACATTTGTTTCTGAGAAAAGCACTGGCATGGGCAAATAGGAAGGTGTGATCATGCAGGGCTAGAGAGAGAGAACGAGAAATGCAGCCCTGAAAAAAAACTCCCAAGAGGAAGGAACAGGATTTTAGAGTTGTTTTAATACCACATAATCTTAATCTGATAACCGTGGGGCATGTTTGGCTGCGAGTACCAGTAGGAGAGAGACTGAGAACATAAGAAAACTCCAGAGAGAAAAGGATAGCTGGGAGGATAACAGGATGGAAATGCAGGTTTTTTAGCATTTAGGATACAAGCAAAAGTCTGTTGAGAGTTGATTTCCTTCCTAAAGCTACAGAAGGCAGAATCGCATGGTTAAGTAGCAATCACAGCTAATGTTTAAAATATTACCTCCTGGATCACAGATAGAAGTTTGAAAACACAATCACAAGGTTCAAAGACTAGATATCAATTAAAACATTCGATACTTTAAGAATATAGATGCATTTACTTATGTTTAACCCTCATCAACTTGAGCCAACCTCATGTTTGATGGGAGGAGACGGCTACATCAGTCAAAGACTTCATCTTCAGGGGGCAGGGGTCCACTTCCAGGCATCACACATTTTTAGCTGCACACTCGTTCTCATTCGTCTCCAGCTGGGGCTGAGAGGCGTACAGCTAAGACAAGCACCAGCAGGAGGAAGGCATGTCACTGTGGCCATCTCCATTGCCCTGTTTAAAACAGTTGAGGGTCTAATGGAGTTGGGCCATTGTTTTCAACACCAGCCCCTTTCTTCCTTGGAATAGTTAACAGTCGGATCTTCTCCTTCTTTCCCACCCTGCAGGCTTGCTCATTTACTTTGGCTATGGCATGTGGAACAGCACCCTGGAGATCAGTGCCCGGGAAGAGGCACTTCATCAGAGCACGTACCAGCGCTATGACGTGGACGTCGACCCCTTCTCTGTGGATGACGGCTTCTCCTACGCCAACGAGAGCGAGAACTACCAGGACTGGGGCCCTTCTGAGGACAAAGGCTTCTCTTACCAGCAAATGGCAGGAGCAAAGGAAAGCCATCGGACGAGTAGCAAATCGAAAAGCAAAGGCAAACACAAACAGAATTCAGAGGCCCTGATCGCTAATGACGAGTTAGACTACTCACCAGAGTAACCGAGACGGGAACCGGGCCGCCACGCTGCCCCTCACACCCTTCCCTTGAGCGACAATGGAAAGGCTTCTCCAGCTCCCCTGTTCGATCCCATCCTCCCTAAAATGTCAGGGCCCACAGCCACCACCCACTCCCAGTCACCTCCTGTCCTTTGGGACAAAGGTTCATCCTAAACTCTGAGATTGCTATTTACCCTGAACAAGACAAACCTGAGGCCTGTTCAGAGTCCACCAGTCAGATCCTGCTTTGGTGAACGTTACCAAGGGGGCCAGTGCTCAGCGTGACTGGCAGATTCTCCGGTGTCTGCTAAACCCTCGGTCTGGCAGCACCGACAAGTGAATTAAATGAGAGATGTGCCAAACTGGAAAGGCATGTGATAGGTGAAAGGAGTCACATGAACAGCTAAGCTAGTGAGGGGATAAGATGTGCTTTCCACAGGGGAAATTCACCCTATGCCCGTGTCGGTGGGAAGCCACTGTTACGTATTTGGCACTTTCTTAGAACATATATTTTTTTCCTCCAGTCGCCTAGGAAAAATAGCTTAGGTAGAACAATAGATTGGTATGTAGGTATTCAAGGGAATCTCAGGAGTAGATTAGAGCTGGATCCAGGGATCTTGGCACCATCATGTAACATTTCCGTAGCCCGTTCCAGTACAAAGGCACTCCATGCAAACACCGACACTGTTGAGAGGTCTCCGTCCCCAAGACCTTGAATCTGCGTGTCCCAAAAACTGGAGCTAAAAACCAGTCTATGTCTTGCTCCTCTTAGACAGCCTCAATCAAAACTTGACAGCCCAGTGCAGCTGAAAATCCCAAATCTAAACTTTGGAATCTGGGCCCATTTCTGGTCATAATTAGGGTTTTGACCCTCTCTAGGCTTAACCTTCCTTGTGTAAATGATCAATAAACATCAGACTCCATTTCTCTTAGTACCATAGTTTTGAGGCTGGACTCCGTTTCCATTATTCTGTATCTTGTATTGAATGACTAATTCATAATTCAGTAATTCTGGTGGCCGCATCTCAGCTGCCATCCTGGCTTTAGTTCTTCAGGGGAAGCATCCATGCTTCTCTGGATGCTGCTCCCCACATAGTAACAAAGTGAGTTCATGCAGGTCGGTCCCATCTTGGCATTGCTGGGCTATCCATGTGGCGACGGTAGAGGACTAGGCTGCTGAAACCTCCATCCCTGCTCCTATCTCAGCTTTGTACTGTTTTCTCTGTTTCTGATCATGGCTTGGTGGATGCAGTATGAAAAATACTGAAATGCTGCTCGTTCTATAAAATTCTGTATTTCAATCTGAGACCAAATGGAGTTCATGGGTCGTAGGGCAGGGATTGTTAGGAAATGGACGTTTCTGATTGATAGTTAAATCTTCTGGTACAACTGGACAACAGACCCATCCTGCCTTCCTCCCTCCAGCAGAACTCAGTGTGCACACGAGTGCCCTACGGGATGTCCATAACATCAGACCCAGTAACAGCACTTTGCCTTCTCCTCAAGAGAGATCATTAGCTAAATGCTGGCAGGAAATATCCCGGAGTTAAAAACAGGCCAGTTCCGGGTGGCTTTCCTCCAACTAGCAGCTTAGACACCTAATTTCAGGTGCCTTGTCGACTGCCCTGGACCACATTGGTGTGTAGATCCCCCCACACCGACCACTGAGCCTTGGACAATATCACCACAGCAATGGCCCCAATGCAGCCTCCCCAGGCTGGGGAGGAGGTTTCCCAGGCTCGGAGGCTCCCTCGAGCGGCTGGGGTGACATTTCACCTTTGCTACCCCGGTGGGGACCCACGCAGCTCACCCTGCGCAGCCCGGCTGCCCCGCAGCAGACAAGGTGCCCTCCACACGTCCTCTCTAACCAGCATGCAGAGCAGAGTCACCTGGCCTTGCCGAGAGACCGGTGCCGAGGAGAGGGGGCAGCCTGACCTTGTACCCAGAGGGATTTAGGCGGCCAGGTCTCAGCTGCAGCATCAGATCTTGCTTTCAGTGAGGGTTTGAGACCCACGCCACATGCATCCCACTGCCCTTTCCTGCAGGACCACGTCAGGACCTGCAGGCCAGCTGAGCTCCCACCAGCCCAGCCTGTGGCACCTCAGCAGCCGGAGCTGGAGCAACTGTCCCACGGCATCGAGCAGTTCGCCTCTGCCGGTGGGGCAGCTGGGACGTCGCTCAGCCCTTGTCACAGCTGCCGCCTGTCACAGCACCACAAAGCACCAATGTCCTCGCCGAACATTAGGACGCAAACAGCATTCACTGCGGCACCGGCGCCTGGGAAGAACCAGCTCGCTGCGTCTCCCCTTACCAGACATCAGCCATGGCTCCCACCGCACCGCACCTCTGAATAATTGATCAGCAGCCAGCACGCAGCGGGGCTATTTCTGGAGCCCATCACAGACATGTCTAGGCGTAGGTTTAAAATACTGCAGCGGAGGAACATCTTTTTGAATAAAAAACAACCTGGAGCGAGGAAGCACCATATCAGACAAGGACACCTCCCTGGCTCCTGAAGGCTGCAGGGCAAAACTCCTCCCCCAGAACTCATCAGGGTAAACCCAGAATAACTCCACAGTGTCACTGGTTTCTGTTGGATTTACACCAGCGTGATCAGGCCAAGACTTAGCCCCAGGCCTCCCGGGGCCACAGCTGGGGCTTAGCAAAAGGAAGACGACAGCATGCGCCCTTGCGCCACTTGGCCATCTAACCAGGAGACTGCTCATGCAGCGCAACGAAATGGTGACTGAAGCAAGACTTCTGCTGCGTGTAAGCAGTGCTGAGAACTGGTAACACTTCAGTACTCTGGACGAGCCTAGGCTCAGGCCCTGCAGACACAAAGCAGAGTCTGCCCTGGGCTGTCGAGGAGTGATGAGGGCAGATGGAGTTGTGCAGCCTGGTCGGGGTACGGAGAGCACCCTTCCGGTCCATCCTCTTTCCATCTCTCCCAAACCAACAAGGGCAGAGGCTGGCCGTGATCAAGCCGTCCCGCTCAAGCCATGGGACATTTGGCCTCCATGCAGGTTTTGGGCCCACAGCCAGGCTCTCCAGGTGCAGCCATCACGTGGGGCCTGCCAGACCCCCTCCCGGCCTGCCAGCAGCAGGACAGCAGCGCAGCACGGGGCCCGGGGCAGGCTAGGATGTGCCTTTGCGAAGGGACCTCGTACGCTCCACTGTGGCATCCGCTCCTCGCAGCCACCCCTATTACGCTTCTCCAAGCAGAAATCGTGGGCTCCTCAGACTGAAAAGCAGCGTTTGCAATGCGTATACCTCTCCAGTTAATTAGCTCGTGAGACCTCTCCATGGGCTGAGCACCTCTAGCAAATGTCACCTCTCACCTGCGCTTAGCTATTCTCATGATAGATGCCTTAGAAATACCTAGGAGAGATGGCACCTGGCAGGTCCAGCTTTTCGCTTTCGGGGAGAAAGACTGATCCTACCAGCTGTTGTATTATGCTGTGTTCGAGGTAGTCCTCTTAGTCCTGCTTCTGCAAGGTATTTAGGTTCTGCCTGCCCACAAACACATGCCCAAGTACCCTGTTGAATCACAGCTCGTTAGTCCTTTCGCAGCCTTAATCTCTTGCTACAGAGTACTTACCAGCATCTGCTGTCACATCAGCTCTAATTATACTATAGCGTTTGACGAGGACCTGGTTCCTTGCTCTTTGGCATCTGTAGGCATCTTCGCACCGCATCAATGCCTTGAGCCAGGCCCTTTGGCTGTTGCTATCCTGCCGCCTCTCTCGGAGCACCCCTGTGGGTTCGCCTGTCCCTCCGACGGGCTGCGGTGGGTCCCACCCCACTGCCGAAAGCAGCTGCCCACACCATGTCGCACCACCCAGGAGGCCTCACCGGTGGAGCTCCTCAGCTTTGGAGGACGGTCAGATCCGGTTTGAAATCTGGGTCTGGCCCACTTCTGTTTTAGAGATCCTAGGCTTTCCCTTGGAGTAAACTTTGGGGTTTCGGTGGGCTTGGGCAAAAGCAGCAAAGGTGAAAACGCTCGAAGCGTCGGTCCCCTCCAGAGGGCTCTGTCCTTGGGGCCAGTTCAGACACCACGGGGCCAGGGAAGCCGGCAGCAGGTGCGAGCGCTGGCATCGCTAAGACCCAAATATCCAGTGTTTCACCCCGGGACCCCTAAAAGGAGATATTGGTGCACTTGATACGCTAAGAAAACGTAGGCAGAGAAGTATCATCTGTTTTTGGCTAACCTCAGTGGGTGTCACACGCATAACCTTGCTGTATGTACAGAGCCTGGCCCCCAAGCCCACCTCCCCAAAGGGCCCCGTGTGCTATATGGATGGAGCATAAATACCTCAAATCTTTTTGACCAGCTTAAGATCTTTGTCCCTCCACAAATTTATTTCACTCGGTTGCAACCACTCAGCTGCAAGACCCAGCACTCCAGCGCCCTCCACGCAGAAGGGAAATCGTGCTCTGGATGACACCGGCTGTTAGAAATTCAGCTTGTAAATGACCTTTACTTCTCTCTGTTTGTTTGTTCTTTCTGATGTATATCTTGCTTTTTTGCAGATGGTACTTTCTGGTGTAACAATTCTCTGCAGTTCTGGTATGAAATTGGTGTATTTGTTTAAAAGTTTGTTTTGTTTTGTTTTGTTTTGTTTTGTTTGTGGTTTCCAAAACCCCATTGGTGCACTGTACAATGGGATCTTGTGGTGTGTCATGAAGAAAGAAAAAAAATATGCAGATATGTTATGGAGTGATTTTTATTTTCAAATGATTGTGTTGTTGACAATTATAATATATATATTATCAAGACACTAAGAAAAAAAATCTAAATTTACCAAAATGTGTATATTTTAATAAATGCATAAAGCTTTATTGTGTGCCTTTACATTTAAAAAACATGGATTTTTAAAGGAAGCCAGAGACAAATGTGTCTAAGTATCAATTTCCGTAGTAATGTAAATCTTTTAAATGAAAGACTAACCCAAAAGAAAAAGAAAGAAAAAGGAATTTCCCATTTAAATTTTGTTAAGCCGATCAGTCCCTGAAGGTCTGATATTTTTTCAATGCTAAACCGAAGTGAGAGACGAACAAACCTTGCCTTAAGTGCTTCAAAACTTCCTTTGTAGACGATCCCTTTAAACGGGCTGATTTTGGTATTGACTTGCACTGTTGTGAACAAAACAAAAAATGGTTATCAATTTACACAATAAAAAAAAAAGAAAAAAAGAAAACGAGCGCAGGTTGACTATTACGGTTCGCAGCCCCGGCCGGCCAGCTCCCGCTTGGCCTCGACTGGCTGCAGCGG